ATTATTTGGTATATAATACTAATATTATAAATGCTATATGAATTAGTTCAATACCAATTTATAAATAAATAAGAGACACAAAAAAATCTTAAATAGTTCAACCATAATTACCTGTAAAAATTCTGGCCACATATTATTTCCATCATCATCAATTAAATTTCTGGCTATTTCAGCAGCTACTTCACAAACTTTATGTCTCATCTGAGATGTCTGCTCTTGCTGTATGGCCAATAATACTTGCTCTTTAAGTTGTTGCTGGTTCTCAGGAGGAAGTTTTGGATAAAAATCCACAAACTCACTTGATAAAAGTCTTCGTAATAAAACTGCTGACATTTGACGTGCCTCTTCATTTAATTGCGAATTTCTGATAGCTCCCAAGAGATAACTAACTTTTACTTCAACTGGGATATTGCCATATGTCTCCTAAAAGAATATTTATGTTTTGAAAATATCAATTATTTCAAAAATTATGGTGCACTTAAAAATAATCACCTTTTACACACAGTTGATTCAATGCACAATTGTTTATAAATAGAATTCACACAACAAAGAATTTTTGGTCCTAGGTCTTGTGAAAATATTTTTCTTTCTGTTAGGTTAGTTATTAACAAACATAGATTGACAAAATACTTTATTTATAAATCATTCAACCTATGAGTAATGCATACATAACTAATAACAATAACTACTTAGCACTCAACGCATTATAAAATCAACTGTTTAATAATTTTAATTACTTAAAGCATTTTTTTACAATTCACGCAGTTTAATGAGAAGTTTTTCTTTTATTTTGACACTAATTCGATAAATACAAACACTTGTAGGAAAATACTTATAATTGACGTTTATGAAGGGGTATATTTCAAACGAAAAATCGACACTACCACATATTATAACCTAACAAATAAAAAGTAAAACATTTTTGGAAGCCCATAATGTCGTATTTAATAATTTGCGGTAATTGCAACCTCTTGAGGTATGCGTTATTTTTTATAAAACAAATAATAGCACGTAGTCAAATTAGTATACAATGTAAACAACCACCTATGTGACAATAACCACGCGTTATAGAAAGGTTAATCCAAGAAGCAGATAATAATAAACAAAAAAACTTAGTAATTGTACACGTTTTAGCAATGACCTTAATCTTATTATAACTAAAAATACACTCAATTTCTTACCTCAGCTTGAGATCGAATATCGTTGTCTGTTGATAGAAGGGTTGTCAAAAGTTGATAAAATTGCTCTTGGTCCGCAGCCATGGCTTTAAGTTTATGGTAAAAAGAATGATTAAATAAAAGTCAATTCAAAATAACACTATCTCAGCTCTTCACAAAAATCACTAGATAGTACACCCAGGAGAGCCAATATTAAATTAATGAATTTTACATTCGTATACCGGCAAAATTTATATTGAAAAATATTAAAAAAGATTTGTTTAAATGAAACATTCAAATGAAGTTAAGATGAACTTTTTCCACAAATTTTGTATCAAATCTTTGGCGGATATGCCAGAGTACACAATTAATACAAAAATGATTGCAGTACCAGATTAATGTTCTGCCATCTACATTTGATATTCTACACTATTATTGACTTTAAATTGTCAAAACGTCAATAGAATTGAAAAAAGCTCAAAAAAACAACATTTCTTATTCATTTCTTATTTTAGGTTAGTGAATGCACACATGTGTCTAATATTATTATAATTATATTATCTGTTACTAATGAAGTAGAATTACACAATATAGAAGAGGATAAACAATATGGAAAATTCTGAAAATTTAAACTTTTCAAAGGTGCAGGAAAATATGACTTTAAACGACTATATAAAGGTAGTACTGAATATGATTGTCTCGTTTAAGGCCCTAATAGTTTTTCTTTTTTTTTTTTTAAGGATGGTTTTAAAGTAATGGTTGAGGCCACAAGATCTTCTAATTCTTTACCAGGAAGAGATGACTGGGCATACTACAGTATAAATGATAATTTCAAAAAGTGCATGGAAAATGAAAGCGAGAGAATTTTGCAAATCATGAATCGTTTACTACGCAAACAAGAGATTGAAGAGAATATTCGGAATCGTGACGTACAAGAGAAAACTGAACTAATTATTGAAGCAAATGATACTGTATTAGAGAAAGTTGCTAATAATATTGATGAGCTAAATGGCATTAGAAGGAAACCATCACAACTAGTTGAATTACAAACAATCACTGCACAATTACCTATTAATGGATCATGGAACAGATTAAATAAAGCATCATTTGCTATGAATTCATCTTCCTTTTCCCAAGTAATTACTAATCAAATTATTTATATAGATTATAATTGTACCTATTTTCTGCATTTAATTAAGTACTAAGACCTATTTTACTTTTTTAGCAACAAGCACAGTTAAAGTCAGTAACATTATTAGCAGCAAGAAATATTGTAAAGCCACAAAATTTTTTTAAAGATAAAATTGACAACAGTAATGATAATCCGTGGATGCCAAGAATTAAAGAAAAACCAAACTCTTTGAAACCTTTAGCAATTTTCTTGGAAGAAAGTGAATTTGGAGATACGTAAGTTATTATAATTATTAATAATTAAAACCAAGAATATTTCAGCATATTTGACAATGACTTTATAAGTCCAAATAATACTATAGAGAAATCTAAATATAATAGTGAAATATTCTTATTTTCAATAAGAATTTGATTGATTTGAGTGTATTAATTAATTAAATAATAAAATAGTAAACAATTATTTGGATAAAGTAAGATAAACACATTAGTTTTAACTTTCATGTTTAGATACTCACATCCTTATGAGTTTGAATTGGAAAGATTTACTCCTATCCCAGAACAGCTTATTCAAACTGAAGCAGTATTTCCAAAACTAATTGAAGAAACCCCATTGTATGAAGTTAATACTCCTGGCGAATTAAACAACATGTTGGAAGATTTATATAAACATACAGAGATAGCAATTGATTTAGAGCATCATTCATATAGGTCTTTTATGGGAATTACTTGTCTTATGCAAATATCTACTTGTAATGCTGATTATATAATTGATACATTAGCTCTTAGAGATAAATTGTATATTCTTAATGAAGTATTCACAAACCCATCTATTGTAAAGGTCATTGAAATAGTGTTATTTTTGTTATAAAGTACTCATTTATTTATTGCTTAGATTTTCCATGGAGCTATCTCAGATATAGAATGGTTGCAACGGGACCTCTCTTTGTATATTGTGAACATGTTTGATACACATTTTGCATCCAAAGAATTGGGATATACAGGACTTTCATTAAGTTACTTATTGACAAAGTTCTGTAACATTAAACCTAATAAGCATTTTCAGTTAGCAGATTGGAGAATTCGGTATGCTATAATCAATTATAAATTACATAACATAAACATTAATGAGATAAAATTATCTTTTGATAGGCCTTTGCCAGATGAATTGAAAACTTATGCTAGAATGGACACACATTATCTTATTTATATCTATCGTATGCTGAAAAATGAACTTTTACAAAAGGCAAATGGCAAGGACAATTTGCTAAAGTCTGTGATTCATAAAGGAACACAGCTGTGTTCAAAGGTAAACAGAAAGAAATTGATATTATTTTTATTTCATTAGCACTCTTACTAAGAAGTATTTCTACATGTTTATCAAAAGTGAAAAGAGATTATTTCCAGAGATATATTAAACCTCTTTTAAAAGAAGATAGCCATTTAGAGTTTTATCGCAAAAGTAAAAGGATATTTGATAATCGTCAAATGTACGCACTAAAAGAATTGTACCGCTGGCGAGATAAAATAGCAAGAGAAGAAGATGAAAGTACTGGGTACTCCTATTTTTTATTCGATTTTTTCTGATTTCAGGATTTTAAAAAATACTTTTGTTTAAGGTATGTTTTACCCAATCATATGCTATTAAAAATATCTGAAAAGTTACCTCGTGAAATGCAAGGAATTCTTGCTTGTTGCAACCCTATACCAGTTCTTGTAAGGTCCAATTTATTACAGTTACATCAATTTATTCTAAAAGCTAGAGAACAACCAACAATAAAGGTGATAAAGTTTATGTTAGAAATTAATTTCATGTACCAAGAAATATATTATTGTAGCCAATATTAAAAGAAGGCAATAGAAGTCGAGGAAGTACTCAAAAAATATTTAAAACCAATATAGAAAGTCCTCTTCATTGCCCCCATGATTTGTCAAAACAGCAAGAATTTAGAGACGATTTACCAATATTACTTTCAAGTTGTTCAGATAAAATTCAAGCCACAAATATAGAGGAAGTTACAGCAGAATTATTGATTGAGAAAAAGCAACCATCGATATCGATTTTTGCTACTGACGGATTTGATGATGTGATTATAATAGTACAATGTAATTATTATTAATTTCTATATTTACGTTTTCAGGCTATTAAGTCTCGCCTTAAGATGAAAAACTTGAAATTTTTGGGTCCATTTGATAGATACCAATTGGTTAAACCTTACATAGCTGCAGAAGAAGCTAAGGAAACGGCAAAGAAGGCAGAAGCTAGTGCAGAATGTAATGACCGTACAGACGAGGAACGAATCGCGGCTGTAGGTTTTCAGTGTAAGGAACTAAAAAAATTTAATTAATATCAGTTCGTTTTTTTTTTAGTTGCATGAACATTTCAAATCTGTCTCACAACTCGTCCCTCAAAAATTATCATCTGAAGAACAGTCAGCTTCCAATGCAATGTTTGTTAATTTAAATCCTCCAGTGAAAGTAATAAATAAGATAAAACAGAAAAAATCATTGGTAAAGATGGGTGGAAGAAAAAGAAGACGAGAAGAAGTAGAAGAACAAGATAATTACAATGGAGCTGAAGCAAAAAGTTCAATGATTACGCCTGTACCATTTATAAAGCCATTTAAAGATTCAAACACCAACAAGAAACGGTTTAGAAAGCGTAAACGAAAAAATAATGACAGTAATTTGCAATTTGAAGACCAACAGTATCCGCCTCAAAAACGACAGAAACAAAATAATCAACCACAAAACCAAAATATTAACCAACAACAAATGAATACCTGCGACAAAGGCAAATCATCGCAAAACAAGGCTAAAAAGACTCGTGCTCAATTTTTCAAAGACAAACAGAAAAAGGTGCAGAGATCTATGAATGACAGTCAAAGTATACAGGGAAATTTGAGGAACGAAAGAAAAAACTTTAACAATCCATCCTTTGGAAAAGGAAGAAAAGAGGACAATTTCAGGCCTTTTGATTATGCTTCTGTAGATTATTCACAATTTAAGACTAATGATATGATTCCTAACAGAAATCAATTCAAAACTAAATTCAAAGGGAAGGTAAGTATTTCAACTTATTAATGAATAAATAAAATATTTTAA